AATTTCTAAAAGATATCTCTAACTTACAAGGGAAGTTAGGAAACCCGAAAATTCAGAAAAATCTGAAACTTTGTGTAAAAGTAGAGCAGTTCATCCGTAGTACGAAACTATTTTTTGTTGGTGCTCTATTCCGTTTTGAAGGGATGAAATCACCCCTTGAAAAAAATCGGTTTTTTTCTTTCGACGTGAATATCGTCGAAACTGTGAGAGATCGAAAAAAGTGTTCTGGATCAAAGTTGAATGGCTTGAAGTGTACTTTATGATAGCAAAAAATTTTTTTTTATTTTTTTTTTAATATTTACCCCCCATTTCACATTCTTTTTTTAAATTTTTAAATTCTTTTGTGACCAAATTAAAGGTTATTTTAATACAAATTCAACCATGTGTGATAAAGTTATTTTCCAAAGTATCATTTTCGAGAAATAATTACGCTCAAACGCCTCTATACGCACACAATTTGTACTCGTTTACGCTGACGCATACGCAGTAAATTATTCCTATTTTTATTGTAGTATAATATAAATATAAGTAGGAATACATGTTGTGCAATATTTAATTATTAATAAATTAAACTTTGTGCGATATGGTTTTTTGCACGAATTGTGGTGTGTCTAATCGTCCAAAGATACGTTATAATTTATATGAAATAAGAAACTTCCGTGATTATACGTACAGACTGTTCCCACAATAATTAGTTGTTTATACCGATTTGACCCCTGATATATTCTATGATATTCAAATTTTACTTTATAAATGTAGTCTACACGTGCGCGATAAAAACGATTCATAATTATACAGAATATTGCGAAAATAGATTTACTTTCATCGTTATTCCTTGTTTGGAAAATAACTTTATGACGCATGGTTAAATTTGTATTAAAATAACCTTTAATTTGGCCACAAAAAAATTTAAAAATTTTAAAAAAGAATTTAAAGTGGTGAGAGAAATATTAAAAAAAATTTTTTTGTAATTTTTTTATTACTATCATAAAGTACACTTCAAACCATTCAACTTTGATCTAGAACACTTTTATCTATCTCTCACAGTTTTGACGATATTCACGTCGGAAGAAAAACCTGATTTTTTTCAAGGGGTGATTTCATCCCTTCAAAATGGAATAGAGCACCAACAAAAAATAGTTTCGTACTACGGACGAATTGCTATACTTTTACACAAAGTTTCAGATTTTTCGGAATTTTCGGGTTTCCTAACTTCCCTTGTTAGTTAATAATAAATAATAAAAGCTCAGCTATGAGTTCGTATATATTTGAAATTGAACTCAAACTTGTTCATAAAAATGGAGTTCTATTGTACTTATAATATACATTAAATCTTTTGATAAAATTGATGTTTTAGCTAAGTAAAAAAGAAGAAATTCCTTCACAGATCGTTCATTTGATTACCTTAATTAAATCAGTGAGTGTTTCTTGAAAATGTTTTCCGAAATTTATTACCTTCATGCAAGATCAATGATCGTGATCGATATTCATCCTTGTAAACCAGTCACGTCGACTAAGTCCATTGCGAAAACGACGAGACGGGCAGCTCTGCATTCTCTATTTAAGTTTACGCACGTGTTGGGTGTTACGAGCCTGTATACGTGAATGTTCTTTCTACGTGGCATGATACTTACATGTATAATGTTCGAATGGTGGGGAACTTGGTGTACTAGCTACTGGCTCGAGAAAGAGAAGAATCGTTTTGTTTCGAGCATATAGAAATCCTGCGACAGAAACCGCGGAAGGTATATCCTTACTCGTCGAGTGCTGGGTTCCGTAGTGCAACGTGCGTGATTTTCACGTCAAGCTCTTGTGTGACCTTTCGTTACTGCTGCGAAGAAACAAGTAAGTGACGCAATGTCCAAGATCGGTTGTCGAAATAACCTTTTCCATAAATCAATATATGGAATTCATGAAATTACTTCTTTATTTACAAATTTTTTCGACAAAATCGGAATTTCTTTTATAAAAGATTTAAAAAAATGGAATTGTATACTTATTTTGATCTTAGTAAATTATATTTACAGAGTTTAAAAAATCTTATTTTATACATCATTTTTATAAAATTTATTTTTATTAAATGGATTTTAGGTTTTTATATCAACTCATATTTAATTATTAATTTTTTCGAGACTATCCACGATTACCTTATCTTCTCTAACATAAAATCCTCTCACGTAAATATATCATCCACTCCGTGATTTTCGCTGGTTTATCAGTAATATTACTTTCAATTGCACGTGATATAATTATATAAAAATTGGATTGTATAAAATTGCAAATTGGAATTACAATTTATTTAAAGTTTAATTAGAAATATTTTATATAATTTAATAATTATAATATTTTCATTACAGTATTTTATAAACGTTACTATAATTATCAAGGAGATCAAAATTTATTATTAAATCATGCTTCTCTTATCTTTTCTTTTTGCAGGTAAAATTCTTAAAATAACAAAAATTTGTCATTTACAACGATTAACAACAAAAATTATTTGGTTACTGTCGCTCTGCTGCTTACATAACATGCAAAGTATAACAAATATTTATTTAAATTCAAGAAATGAAAATTGATTAAAATTGACAATTTATTAATGTAAATTTAATATTTCAATTTAATTTTATAACTCCTTTAAAAGCGCAATAAAAATGTGTTAATTTGCGTGGGTGATAACATTGCTATCTCGTTCTTTTATTCACTTTCGCGGAGAATTGGCGAGCTAATTGGTATTCAATGAGTTAATCGGCTTTCAAAAAAATGCGCGTTCGAAATTTGAAAATAATTTGAAATGAGGTCGCCTGCGAGATCGAATTCGCGTCACGTACGGATTCTCTTTCTTTACGTTTCTCTGACTCGTCCGTGTGTGTTATTTCCGATTACTTCCTCACTTCGTTCCTTAAGCACATCTTTTAAAGAAGTAAATATCACTTATAATGGCGAGACGGAAATATATTTGCAGAAATAATTTTTTCTATGATATGTAATATGAAGGATACATATAATTATACTCATATAACATGGTTAAATTATCATGTAAATTATAAAGATTTGCAGAAATATATATGAATTAGCAAACATTAAGGGCGTCCGCAGGATTTTTTCTAGAGGGAAGCATGATCCAAATTTTTAATAAAAAACTACCGCGAGGAGCAAATATCCAAACGTTGTGCACCTCTTGTATTTTAGCTCTCTCACATTTGACAAACATATTTATTATTTGTAAAAATAAGAGAGCAAATTCTGAATTTTCTTATACTTGTTTGATTCGGGGGGCAAATGGGCCCCTCCTTGTCCCCCTCCCTGCGGACGCTCATGAGCAACATAAAAGTGATAGAACAGCCGTAAATAGTATCTAAATTATACCGTTTTCTGTATTCTGTTTAATATTCTTCAAAATTCTTTCAGGTTTATACTATAAAACTTCAGCTGGCATTTGAAATTTGTGAGTATTTATATATATAAAATATTATTCACTAAAATGAGAAAATTTATTCACTATTCAAATATTTATTCACTAAAATGAGAAAATTAAATTCTGTAAAGACGTATAACCTAGTGTTATCTTTATCTGTTCTATATGATAGGAAAAATGCGAAAGTAACCGATAAATGTAATCGTATCAGCCAGAAAACACATTAATGATGAAAGAAATTCGGTGTATTTTTTAAAATAAATATATGTTGCAACACTGTATCAAGTCCGATATTATAGAATTTCATATTTGTCGCAAATTCTGCTAAAATATTTACAAAATAATAAAAATTAATTTTATCATATATTGATAATTTATTAATTATTATATATTAAATAAAACAATTATTTGATAAAAATTAACTAATAATCTACCATGTAATTCCATTACAGTACCAAACATACCATTGGAATTCTTCTTTTCTTGCATCAAATCTTGCAATCCTCGCATCGTGTGACTAGACAACAATATCGATTTGGTGGCTGTTTCAGAAAATCATGACGTTATTACCGCCAACGCCGGCGCAACAGAAATATATAGACAAGCAACTCCCACCTGACCCGGAAATGAGAAAACAAGATATCAGAGCGCTTCGGGAATGGCTCTCAAAACAGCCGCACTTGCCGAATCACATAGGTTCGTTCGTAAATTACTCGCAATTACGTCGACAATAATCAAAACATACCGTTTCACTGTTATAGAAGTATAACTTCAAATAATTATAATAATATGCAAAATATTGAAAACTATCTGAATTAACAAGGAAACAAATATTCCTTCAAATAATCCTCTACTATAATAATTTTTAATAAGTTTCAAAATTTTGATAAGTTTCAAAACTTTGAGTATGTAGTATAAATTAAAGTATTTTAAAAGTACACATGTATTTTTCTATAAATGCTTTTATGCACATTATAAGAAAAAACATACCTTTAAGAAAAGTAACTTTTATGTTTTTAAGGAAGTAACATCAAAACAATAAGGTATACAAAAATGTTTTAGACAAAATTTTTATGGTTTCAAAAATATTTTGTATTTAAATTTTTTTTAATGTTATAAATTTTTCCAAAATGTTCCTCTGTCCACTAGTATTTTTGAGAATTTCGAAATAGTTTCAAAACTAAATTGAAGTTTATTTAAAAACAAATTTAATTACACACAACAAGATTATTTTCTAAAAATGTATTTTTGTAAAATATAAAGTTATATAAGTTTCTATACACATACGCGCTATTCGTAACTGTTCTATTCAGTGATTATTTGCTCACAATAGCTTCTTTTTTTTGTTGCAATCAAACATTAATTTGATATCAAGATTTATTCAAGAGAATAAAAAAGAGTTAGTAATGTAGATTGTAGAATGTAGTGTTAATAGCAACAATAATAACATCAATAAATACGTTGACGTAGTGGTAATTTCAATTGTGATTTTGTGCGTCATAAGATAAATACCCCTAATAATAAGATAATATTGTTTGCATTAAAATTCAATGTGAGAGTTCATTCCGATTATCATTTATTGCAAATCATCAAAGAAATAAATATCTTGAAAAATTTTTACATGTCATCTGTTAATAGCAAGATAATAGCAAGAGTTGAGAGTATTTATTAAAAATGAAAAAATAAAATACAATTTTGTCTTAAATTAAATAAATAATACGTATTCAGCAAAAAACAAGTAAAATTTAAAAAAAATGATCTTCTTTCGCTCATTGCAGACAATGACAAACTGGAGAGATTTCTTTTCAATTGCAAGAATAGTATTGAGAGGTGTAAATTAATTTTAGAAAGATACTACACCGTCCGAACATTCTTACCGGAATTTTTCGCCGCTCGTGATCCGCTGTCTCAAGATATTCATAGATGCGTCAATACCATGTAATTAAATTTTAGATTTCTTCGCGAAATAGACTAAAAAGAAATTAAATTAGCTGATAATTTTAAGACAAATTGAAAATCTCAATTAAATTTACTATTACATGTATTTTTAAACAAATATATTTGTTAGAGAATACTTTGTTTTGCCATCACTAACCGAGGAAGGATATCGTGTCAGCATCATTCGATTACGTGAGACTGATCCAGAGAAGTTTTCATTTCAAGCGTTAACGAGACGTATTTTAATGGTACTTGACATTCGTTTGATGGAAGAAACCTGCTTATCCAATGTTATGATCGTAGATCTCGAGGTATGACACTGTCTTTTATTTCGACGTTTTTTATTGTACTTTTATTTTTATCTTTATCTATTCTTTAGTGTACTTTCAAGTTATCTTTACATTAGAATAATAATTATTAATACCATATAATGATAAGTTAAATTAAACCGCTAAGTAACGCAATTAAATCAATAAATAGCCGTCTTTATTGGTCGAGACTAGGGATCTTAGTGCCTAAAAATATTTTTCGCAATGTTTTAAAGATTCTTATTAGCATATTATTATTAAATTGAAAATTTAATTTAATTTGTGATCTTACTACCTAGCTTCCGTTTATGATTGCGTTGCAAGTCCGATAGTAATCAGCACACAATTAAAATAAATAAAAAATGTGTTTAGAATTTACATAAAAATATTATGTATCAAGATCCAGTCTTGATCGTTGAAGACGTTTCTCGATTTAATTGTGTTAAACCATAATTTATCTCGGAGGAACTTTTGGCATTATTCAGTTCTAAAGTTTAAATTTAAACGAATATAAAATATTCATTGCTTCAGTATAAATTGCATTTTTTCACAATATAACAAATTTATATATTATTGATATTTTAAAATTATTTAAAAAATAAATAAAATTATTTAAAAAAATATAAAAGTTGCGGTATATATGTGTATATAATGTGTGTGTGTGTGTGTGTGTGTGTGTGTAAGAGAGAGAGAGATATCTAAAGGATAGAATGTACAACAGAAGATTGCATTTAAGCACGAAGTACATTGAGTACACCCTCATAGATGAGGGTGTACTCAATGTACTTCGTGCTTAAATGCAATCTTCTGTTGTACATTCTATCCTTTAGATATCTCTCTCTTTCTTACACACACATCATTATTGAAATTTTGCGTAGTTAATTTAAAAAAAAAAAGAATTTGTTTTTTTAGGGATATAGTATGAAGCATTTTGCAAAAGTAAATCCAGCGCAATCTATTGTAAGACGGGCAATGTTGGCGGCGCAAGATAGCATGCCTTTCCGATTGTCTGGCGTTTATTTTCTTCACGCGCCATCGTTCGTCACTAAAGTAACGGACTTATTTTATCCATTTTTAAAAAAAAGATTAATTGAAAAAGTAAGGCTAAAGATTTAAATAAAATAACCATTAAATAAGATACAGAGCAGAAAGGCTGCACACAGAAATATACTTCTTATCTTTACAGTTTCATATTTTTAACGGTGGCCCAGAAGAATTATATGCTTACATAAACAAAGATATACTTCCTAACGAATGGGGTGGTAAAGCAGGCACTTTGCAAGAATTAAATGGTAAATATATAATTTCTTTCTATTTTATATTTTAAGCACTATTGATATGTTTCTTACCTACGTATATAGCGTTACTACTTTAAAAATTGTTTATAAATAATGTATATTTATAAATAAGAATATTTATTAATTAAGCACTTATATTATCGTAATTATTTTAATTAAGCTTATATATGTATAATTTGATATAATTATGAGAATGAAGTGGTTTTAATTTATTGGATTTATTTCATTTATAATATTACTTAATTCTCTATTACATAAATATAGCTGCGTGGCAAGAAAAAATTGAACAGTATAAAGATTGGTTTCTACGGGATGAAAAGCTGAGTCGTACGAATGAGAATGCTCGTTTATTGGAATCAAAGTCTTGTCTCATGGAATTCGAAGCGCTTCAAGGTTCATTTCGAAAACTGAATATAGATTAATGATATTCTTGTTATATAAATTATTTTTTACTTACTACGGAAGTTTTTAATTGAGCCACAACTTTTTAATCCGATTAAAATTGTAAATTACAATTAGCATAATTTTAATCAATCAATGAAACAAAGATGTAAAATTGCATAAAAGTGATTTTTTTTAAACGAAAATGGTTTTATATCTTTAAAAATTAAATTTTATACATTGTATTGTATTATATACACTTTTTGGAAGACAATGGAATGAAACAGATAATTTCTTAATTGAAAACACTAAAAGCTAATTTTTTATTTAAAAATACGTTTATACTATTTATTATTTATAAGAAAGATTAACAAAGAATTTTTAATACAGTTTTAATTTCTTATAAAAGTTTATCAAAATTTGTATTTTGAATTAACTGTTTTACAGTCATTTATTATCCGACGAACGAAGAAGCTTTTATTCTCGTTATTTCATGATGTCAGTCTCAAGATAGCGCCACTTCTATGTTATCATTGTTAGAAGCATGTTTTTTAACAAATATTTTAAACATATTTAACAAATATATAACAAATATATAATATATTTAACAAATATTTTTATTTCTATCAGCTTTAATCAAATCTATAAACTAATTTAAAATATAGTAATAAATATCTTTGCGTATGTCTTTAATTATTTATTGTTGTAAAAGCATATGTAATGTAATAATAAAATATAAAAAATATATTTTAAATAAATTGTTTATATTTATATTTTAGATTACATTTAGAAGATATTAAAAGAATGTATATGCATAAAACATCGACAAATAATCATTTTTTTCAAGCGATCTTACGACGATTATAATACATTGTCTTGTAAGGAAAAATAATATACAATATAAAGTGGAGAAAAAAGAGCTTACGCAATTATATAAAAAAACTAATCGTTGCATATCAAGTGAAACATTTAAAAAAAGTTGTGCGCCGTAATTTGCATGATCCAAATATAGTTATCGATATAATGGACGTTTAATAGTCGCCTTGCATTAGCTTAACGATTAAATCAATTTATTCCGGCCTATTTTATAACACTGTAACAAAGATCATAAAATGCTCTTGTATCTTTCGTAAATCATGTTATTATTTATGTACATTCAACAGTATAATATTAACATTAAGTGATGTAAACATGTTGTGCATATTTTGACCCAACAGACCCATTTTAAATTGTTGAATCGGTACATATAAGTTCAGAAAAGACGCGATCTATTAACATTCATTAAGAAGATTCTATCTACAATATCAGTCTATTATCTATAATTGATATATATACATTAGGGTGGACCTTATTTATACTTGGTAAACAATTTTTTCCGAATTTTTTTTACGACGCCCCCTAAAGTTGTTCTATTTGGCGAGAAAAAAAATTGTGTAAAAACTGAGTTCGATCGGATAACGGAAAG